AACCTCCTGACTCCACCACCTTTTTAAAACTGCTTTTTAGCTTAGTCTGATGTGTTTTTAGTGTTTTACTATTTGATGTTGTTTTACTGCTTTTATGTTTTGTACGCTTATAAATAAAATCTATTATTATTATTATTATTATTATTATTATTATTATTATAAATATAACATGCATATGCTTTATGCATGCACATGTCATAGTCATATACTCACAACATGGCCCATCATGTTGTGAACTTTAAACCCCCAATCCAGAAGGTAGACCTAAAAGGCCCTAAAAACAGTTTGCCAACCGCAAACAACAAAGAAGAGGGAGATTTTTAAAGATGCAGTGTGAAACATTAATGAGGCTCTATTGGCAGAAATGGAATATAATATTCGTAGGTATGTTTTCATTAGTGTATAATCACCTGATAATAATAATAACTGTTGTTTTCATTACCTTAGAATTATCTGTTTTTATCTACAGAGGGTCCCCTTCTGCGAGTCCGCCATGTTGAACCGCCGTGTTTCTCCTGTAGCCCAGAACGGACAAACCAGACATGGGCTCTGGTTAGGGCCTTTTCTGTTTTTTTGCGAGCTTCACAGCCACTGTAGTTTCTCCTACATGCTTGGAGGGCGAGCAGATATTTAGTTGGTTGCAGGTTGCAAATCCCTCGCTTCACAATCCCTCTCCAAGCAGGAAGGAGAAACTATGGTGGTTACGAAAAAAACAAACTGCTCTTTTGTCCACTTAAGCCTCCTTCAGTACAAATCAGGTACAGTAACATGACTTGAGGTCAGTTTTGACACTTTGGGCTTTGGAATGTTGATATTCGTTTGTTTTTGAATGTTGATGATACCAGTAGTGTTTCTGTGTTGCAACTTCTATAAGCTAATGTATTAAAAATGTTCATACAGTATACACTCAGTTGCCAGTTTATTAGGTACACATGGCTAAAACTAATGCAGTTTAATACAGCAGTCCTGCAATAAATCCTACCTGTATGAAGTTTATAAACTGCATTAGTTTTAGTTAGGTGTGCCTAATAAACTGCAACTGAGTATAGTTCCTAGTAAAATTTTAGCCTCTATTAATTTTAGACACCAATATTCTTTAATTATTTTAGGCATCTTAGCCCGCAGCTCTTTAAAGGAGTATTTCAGTAAAATTGCAAAAATTGCAAAAACATTTTGTGGGTGTGTACATTATACAGCAAGTCAGCTACTGTCTCTTCATTTCAACTTCTACAAACCAGCTCAAGTGGCTGATAACATTGTATTTAAAGTTCCAAACAGAGCCAAATATGAATGCATAATGGCCCTAAAGCCTGACAGTTTCTTTGATCTCTCAAAGACAACAGTTTGGTATTGTGTGTAAAGAAACAGAAGATAGTTGTAAGGAGAGACCTTCCAAATATACAGTAACACTAGTCCTTCTAGTGTGTATGGACACCCTTATATTTAAAAACATTAATTAAATCATTAAATCAGTGACTGGAGGTGGTTCAGGCATCCACCCAATTGTTGGACTGTTTCTCTATGCTCTGTGTAAACAAGTTTACAACCCTGGTACTTTGGCCGTCTTGGCCGTCTATGGTGCTGTTTTCTCATTAATGTGTTTAATTATACACCACCAACTTAGTGACACACAGGAAACCTAGTTTGGAGTTGCTTCTCTATTAAGGCTGTTTAAGGGACAAGGGGCGAACAAACAATATGTATTAATAGTGGGTATTTCTGGGTAATATTGGACTTAGAATTATTTCTGAAAAAAGAAATTAGGCGCAGAGAGACGAGCTGGTGGAGCAGAAACCACAGCAGAGTCTGGTTCTCAGGTGGGCTCCTCACAGTTATCCTCGCCATCCAGCAGCATTCCAACTGAAGCAGGAGGAGTCAGAGGTGGAGGAGGAGGAGGAGGAGGAGGAGGAGGACGTGACGCCACAGCCGAGTCTTTGTCCAGGCTTGGTGCTGCCAGTTTGTCTGCTTCATCCAGACTACTGTTCAAGCCATTGTGGATGGCACTGTGGACGAGGTCCTGCACTGGTAGACAGGGGAGCTGGTGGAGGAGTAGTGACGGCAGAGACTCTGGTTCTGTCCACTGCACCATTATCAACCACAGTAAAGACTGGTTATGGACTGAGTGCAGGCTGTTCCTCTGTTTCCTGCAGGCCGATATTGGCAGGAGGTTCAGCACTAGTAGTCAGGTCATCCTGCACTGCAGTGATGACAGGAAGCTAATCGGAGGGGGTCTGAGCAGCTTTTGTAACTCACTGCACTCTCAGAGCTGTGCGATCTAAACAACATACAAGAAATCACATGTCTTTAGGTTCAAGTACAAGTACACAGTTAATGAAACTTTACCTGCTGTTTTATTTTGGTGTAGACATGAAAACTATAGTGGGTCTTACCTGAGACTTATAGGAGCCGGTGTGCCAGCAGATCTTCAGAGCCTGCTCATATATGGGTGTGTCAAACAACACCTATGAAGGAAACAAGATAATGTTCATCATTAGTTTGTTATTCAGAGCTTTAACTCCATCTGAAAAATGTTTACAGTCTAACTCCAGTAAAAATACACTCTCACATACCCTGATGGGTCTGTAGATGCCTCTACTTCCTTCTGTAAACTCCATGGATATTTTCTTGCTGTAAAATAAAATACAGAAAAGGTTTGACAGTCAGAGCGACAACAAAATTCTCACAACGGTTTTTCAGTTCAATGTTAAAGTCGTGAGTACTCAAACAGTTGATCCTCCACACACAAATGAACAGACTGTGTTCAGGTTGAAGTGTGAACTCTACAGAGAGATTTTCACCATTGAGCTCCAGAATCAGGAGTCTAGAACCCTTGTCTGCATCATGTAGAGTTCTTGATTCCAGACACTCAACAAATCCCTAATGTGTGTATTATATTACATGACAATATTACACACACATACACTTGTTTACTTATGTTACTTTTGGGGTCCTTACATAGACTTATCTTCATTTCATTTCTTCAGACTTAACCATAACCATTCCTACTTGTCTAACACTAACCTTAACCAGTGACCCAAAGATCAGGACACACACACACACACACACACACACACACACACCAAGGATTCAGTATCTCCATGCAGTTGGGGAATTTGAAGTTTAGTCTGGTCTCCTATTGAGACTGATTCTGTTTCTTGTGCACAGGAGACAGATTGGTTAGTTATCAACAGTAGTAACTCTATCAGTAGCCAACCCAGTATCATGCCAAAGCCTGTGATACACCCTCCGGTCACTAGGGCATTGTGTGTCAGTGTCACGCTTTGTTTCTCACTAGCGTGTGGAGGACACGCTAACATTACCTTAACATGACATGAACGTGCAGTACCAGCAGATGGCAGTCATTTACTCATTGCCAACAACTAACGTTACTCTGGAGCAGAGGAAGAAATCAGTCACGCCATTTTTTCCGATCCCGACCCATCAGGTACGTCGATGATATGTTGCTGATTTTCATTTTTGTTTTTGATAACTTTTTGTTGGAGATGTTCTAGGCCGCCTTTGTGTCTTATCATGTTAATTGGATTTGATGAGAGTCGGTAGAGATCTGAAGGTTATTAACTTGAGATTAAACTGGAGGACTCGGTTAGCAAACGCTAGCTATTTTAGCAATTAGCTTTACAACTAATGTCATATGAAAGTATTTTTCAGCTTTGAATTAGTAAGGCCAAGTATTGGTTAATGTTAATTATGGCCCCACCACACATTATGGAGGTCCGTTTTTTTCCTTCTCTTTTTTTTTTCCGAGGTCCTTTTAAACAGTGCTAATGATGTTTCATCCAGCACACGGCTACATCACCGACTCTAACGTTAGTTAACGGGGCAAAAGTAAATGGTTAAAACGATACACGGTTATAAAGGTAAGAAGTTCGTCTTTACTTTAACACCTTAAAATCAACCGAAACCATTACATGATCATTTAACGTAGTAACGTTAGTTAAAGGGAATTTCTATACAATGTTAGCATGAAAATCGTTCGGGTCCCACCGCCGGTACGTTAGTGTGCACTAGCATTAGAGGACTTCTTGACAAATGGCTAACCTTAAATAATAAATGGTAGGAGGTTAAGACACTAATTATTCAGTATGCGTCATAGGTTGCTATAGCGACGGGAGGCAGCCTCTCTGTGTCCAGTGTGTTAATGTCCACCCCTTTCGGTGCTGGTGGCTCTCCAGTCTCCACCGAACAGGGTGGCTTTTGCACTGTATGTCCATTTCCTTTCTATTTGTCTATGGTGCCAATCAAGGCCAAAAAGGTAGTAGCAGACAGAGCCTTTTGAGGGGCAGGGGCAAAAAAAAAAAATCTAAAAAAGGCAACAGTGCACAGAAAGTTGTGATTCATTTGTGGTGAAACAGCTTATATCAGCATTAGGAATAGCACCCTAGAGGGCACTTTACCACGTTTTGTCCACTGCAGGGGCACTCTGGAGGGCACTGCATCACATTTTCTCCTCTGGAAAGGCGCCATAGAGGACAATTTATCATGTTTTTTATTCATATTATAATTTGTATTGATTTTGACAGCTTTTGTACACGACAAGTTAAAATGTTACATTAAACATTCTATTGGTGACATCAATTAAATGAAAAAACAAACTGTCTATGAGGTAATGGAGAAATACGTACTAAAGAGAGTACAGCGCAAAGAGAAGGAAGCCACTTACAAACATTATCAGTCATCTTGATGCACATGGATCCATGTTTTTTGTCATATAATTGACCCATTCTTTCAGTTCTGGGATGGCACTTATTATAGGCTTGTGTTGGTTGCAATAAATAAATAATGCAGATGCAAATACAGGCAGTTTAAAAAAAACAAAAAACTTCTCATCTGGCTAGATTAAGTGATTCAGAAAATGTGTCGCAGCTGCCAAGGATCTGTAAATGATTGTTAGTGGGCGGGATGTTGAGTAATCCCATTGTAAGATAGTGAGCAGGGCGGTGTCTGACACATGATACTGTCTCCCTGCATTGCACGAGTAGAATTATCATGATTGCGTGGCCACGACCCTGCAGGCATGCATATCTCACATGAACTTTGGAGCTGACCTCCATGCGTTTGTTAAGTGTCTGAACACCCCTTACTGCACAGACAGAAGAGCATCTGCCGCTGTTCACTTTGCACAAACTCTGGCTCTTCTAAACACTTTCAACAGTCTCTGAGAGCCGCGCAGCAGGTATGGCAGAGCCCAGCGGGATCCTGATCAAAGGGGGTAAAGTTGTGAATGAAGACTGCTCCGTGGTCAGCGACGTTTACATTGAAAATGGGAAAATAGTTGAAGTTGGACAGAATCTTCAGATCCCAGGAGGGGTGCGAGTCATTGATGCCGCCGGTAAACTGGTGATCCCGGGCGGCATCGACACGCACACACACATGGAGCTGGCGTTCATGGGCACCAAGGCTGTGGACGACTTCCATATCGGCACCAAGGTGAAGATACTTCATTTACACTGTGTCAGATATAAGAGGATGAGTTCCACACACCTTCAAGTGCGACAAGTTACAGACACACAGAATAATAACAGAAGTTAGGTTACCTTACCTTCACACTAAAGCTGTATTGATATTCACTACCTTTTAATTCTGATTTTATTTTGTTAGAAAACACTTGCAAATACTATTAACTACTACTACTACCAGCAGCATCGTATTTATCTTATCTATCATTTGTGAATTTCATTCCACCACTGCCACAATAATGTCTTATCTTATCTTGACCTATAATAATACATACTAATTTATTCGCTGATCATATTTTGTATCAATCTGAATCTCCAAATTACCTAGCAATCAAAGTTATAAAATAATATAATATTTGCCTCTGAAGTATCAGAAAAATGGAAATATTTGAAACATAGTTCCTCAAAATTGTAGGATGAATGTGTGGCGTTTAAGTTTTAGCTTTAATGATGGTTAAAAGTATTTTAAAGGAGTTTGTGCAAAACACATTCCTTATATAATGTGCTGGGTCTCTGTTTGCGTTTTATTTTGAAGGCTGTTTTGGAGGCTTTTAAAGGAACTTGTCTGACTTAAATTACATTTCTGGCAAAGGGCACAGACATAATCTGGAGAATCTGGCAAAGAACCTAAAACAAAATATATCACTTTACTTCAGTTATCCTCATGTTTGATGTCCACACCCTGTACGTAACAGTTTAACAGGCAGCTATACAAGTGAGTCATACCAAATCAAACACCAATTAGCAGCTTGTGTCAGCTTTATTAGAAATGTGACAATCACATGTTTTATAATTGAGGTGTCGGGCGACATGAAGCAGCTTGCAGAGGAACAAAGAGGCCGGAGAGCTGCTGTCTGAATGCATCAGTCACAACACTGTGAAATGTTGTGATGTGGCAAGGGGAAACAAATGTGTCGCAGTCACAGCAAATTCTCACCAACACTGACCGAACAACACCTTAAACTACAGTGTCAGTAAGGCCATCATTCTGTCAGAAACCCAGCAGTGTAAGCTTCACGTGGCTATGCACGGCTACTCTGATAGACTGGGTGTTGTTCCTGTTATTGTGTCCATCATGATGAACTATATAATGTTTTAGTTTAAGATTGCCCGTGACTGCCTGACTGCTCTGCACTCAGTGATATAGGTTTGCTAAACATATCAGTTATTGTTTTGACATGGGTCTTGAGTAATAGGTAATAAATCTTTAACTTGCATCTGTTTGATAATTTGTGTTTCACCAGGCCGCTGTAGCAGGAGGGACCACGATGATCATGGACTTTGTCATCCCCCAAAAGGGAAAGTCTCTCCTGGAGGCCTACGACTGTTGGCGTAAGACAGCTGACCCCAAAGTTTGCTGTGACTACTCGCTGCACGTCGCCGTCACATGGTGGAGTGACAAGGTGAATTAGCAGATGATTGTGTATAAGTACAGAAAATAAAAACTTATCTTGGCAAAGTGTGAGATTACTATTGTGTTCGCCAATTCACAAATAAATTGGGGTCAGAAATGGCAGCAAACAGAAGTGTCTTGTTAAGAATAAAAATGTCAAATAGGATTTGCATTTGTTTTGTGTTAAAGGCACAATTTCTCATAGCCCCCCCACACCCCAAAGCTATTCAGAGCTACTATCCATGTGTGTTTCCAAACCTGTTTCTTCTCCAGGTCAAAGAAGAGATGCAGACACTGACCAAAGAGAAGGGAGTCAATTCCTTTAAGATGTTTATGGCCTATAAAGATGTGTTCATGCTGGAGGACTCTGAGCTATATGCTGCCTTCTCTCGGTGTAAGGAGATCGGAGCTATAGCTCAGGTGCATGCTGAGAACGGAGACCTGATTGCAGAGGTCAGTAAGATAAATATAGATATATGTTTATTAACTGGAAGAGCTGATGTGACGTTTTTCTCCATTTTTGTTATATTGTATGTGAGTACTCTTAAGATACTGATACTTTTTGCAGGGCAAACAATTCATTATATCAGGATTAACAAATACTACTTAAATTATTAGTTTCCATTTTTTCCATTCCAAGCTAAAGCCGTATGGTTTACTGTTTGGAAAATATTGAAAGTGTAGCTAATAGAAAACAATAGTCATTCTTCCTAGCACGGATAGTGACACTAACAATGCTCAAATCTAAACAAACTCAGCCCTTATCGTTCCCCAGTTACAGAAGCATACATGCTGCAGTCCTTTATCAGAAAGGGCTTGGTTAGGGCAGGTCAGGTAAATAATCTCTGTGTAAACATACCATAGTCCAGAAACAAATACGGGTTAATGTTTAACCATGATGAAAGCTAAGTGTTTCTCCATGCAAGATCCTGCCATAGAAGAATGGACACTGTGGCAGTAATAGTAATAGAAATAGGTTCAGTAACAGCAATGCAGAAATTGCGCTTTAAAATTTGAGAATTTCTGCAAACTCTGGATAAAGGGATATGTTGATTTTTTTCCCTGGAAAAATGCAGGTGGTTTAAGGTTCACTGACACCATCTATAGTAGCAATGAGAGCAAATGTTTAGGAAAACAATGTGATGATATGTACGAAAAGCAGCTTTTGTTCTGTCCAGTGTCTAATGCAGCAAACTTTTAACCAGAAGAATTTTGGATGGTTACAAAGGTCTTTTTCACCACAGATAGATTACATCATATCCAGAAAAGCACCAGTAATAACACCTGTTCCACTTAAACGTAGTGATTCCACAACATCTGTATCGTGACTAATGGCTCACTGGCATAACTTGAAATGCCACAATGGACTGGAGTCATAATTAATATTTGTACACGTGTGTTTTGCTGCTTTGACGAGTCAAAATGGCCAATTATTTCTCAGAGATGTATTTGTATGCTTTCCAATTCATCTTTTTTTAAATGCCATGACAACAATTCACCACTAGGAAGCAGCAAATGCTAAAAAAGGGAAACGTGGGTCTCTAGTGGTGGGGAACACATGCTTAATGCTATCACTGGGAAATGTGTTAACGGTGTAGTGAGGATGAATTTGTATAGTTAACCCGAATGTTCTGTTTGGGGTCTTTGGGGCCCACTGCTCAAAACAATTTGCTATCAGATTGATTTTCCTAATTTTATGAGAATTGCTTCTAAACATGACATATTTCACAAGTCTGCTACAGAGAATGATGCATTACTTCTGTTATTACAATTGATTATTTGATATTTTCTCTATCTGTGATTGGTGTTGACTTTTTTTGCAGTAACATTAAAGTTTCCCTTATTTGTTGTAATATAAATGCTCTATTATCAACTCAGTTTTTTGTCATTTTCATCAAATGTGCAAACCCAGTTTTTGGAAAAGGAAAGAGTCACTACTTTAATACGTTTCTACATATTGGAATGTTAAAAGGTCAAAAAAGATTTAAAGGGGGGAAAAAAGTTTGATTGTGCAATTATTGACATTTGTATACACATGGCGTTGGGTCTGTGGGACCCCAAACAATAAGGCGGTAGAGCCAATTTCAACAAAACGCAGTTAACATGTTTTAAAAGCATTACTTTGACTTGTTTGTGTCTTCCCATGTTTATTGTAATATTAGTTTAGGTAATAGCTGTATTAGTTATAGTCTGATCCCTCTCTGTTACAGATACTGTGCTGTTGTTATCCTTCCATCTCATTTAACCTTTGTGCTTCCTTGTTGTCCCTGCTGGGAATCGACAGGGGGCTAAGAAGATGCTGTCTTTGGGCATCACGGGGCCCGAGGGCCATGAGCTGTGTCGGCCGGAGGAGGTGGAGGCAGAGGCCACCCAGAGGGCCATCACCATCGCCCACGCCGTCAACTGCCCGCTGTATGTGGTCCATGTCATGAGCAAATCAGCCGCCAAGGTGGTGTCTAATGCGCGCAGAGACGGTGAGTGTGGGCTTGCTGCCACCTGCTGTTGAAGTAGGGCCAGGTTGAGAGCTGATGGCCCTACATGGTCTTTTGAAGACCAGAACCAGAATCAGTGCTCATATATGGTGTTTTCTTTTTCATGTTTAAAAAAGTGTCTCCACATGATTTTTCTTCTTGTCTTGGTGGAAAAACCTTTGAAAAGATTCTGAACCCAAGGCTGTTTCTGAAGTTTCAGCAGCAGGTGTCATCATGTGACCCCTGAAACAGTACAAAGAGAAATTTCTTAACAACTTTAATTTTTTTATTTATTTAGTGTTTTTCTCTCTCTACAGGGCGTGTGGTGTTCGGGGAGCCTATTGCAGCTGGATTGGGTACAGACGGTACTCATTACTGGCACAAAGAGTGGGCCCATGCTGCTGCTTTTGTCATGGGTCCTCCACTCAGACCTGACCCCAGCACCCCTGGGTACCTCATGGACCTACTGGCCAAGTAGGTGGAACTAAAAATGTAGCAACCAACCAGTAATGTCATCACAGATGAAAAAAATCTCATGAAAGTGCTAGTGAAGTGTCTATATTTGTAATTGAACATTTATGTTTTGGAGCAATTTGTTCTGATAAGACTGTTGAAGGGGGGCAGAGGAAAAGATGGTGAAGCTGACGTGGAAATGTAATAAAGGCTAGAATTTGCGCAAATGGACTAATTTGCATATTAAGTGAGCCTCAATGATGACTAAATAATTATGACTTTTAGTATTTGTTCTGTATTTTATTTGTCCATCCCAGAATGGACTATGTCATTCATCCGTAAATGTGTTTATCTGTCGAATGTGCTAGTGATGATCTCAGCGTGACAGGGACAGACAACTGCACCTTCTCTGTGTGCCAGAAGGCTCTTGGCAAAGACGACTTCACCAAGATCCCCAACGGAGTGAACGGAGTGGAGGACAGGATGTCTGTCATCTGGGAGAAAGGAGTGGTACGTCCCAATCACATGAATGCAATTCATCAGTCAACGCTGAGTCTGAAACAGCAGAAGTGTGAGCTGCTAGCAACAGATATTATGCAGCTTCCTGTCATTACCTGTGTAATTACACTTTTTGCAGTGGTGCTGCAGTGGGCTAAATAGAAAAAAATGCATAAAACAGGGCAAATGGCAACATAACCACAAATTAAATTGTGCCTTTAAAATTAAAAGTCCCTGTTTGCAAATATCTTGTGTCAGCTTGATACTCTGATGTATAGTGAGCTGATTACTCATCGTGTATGGAGGCCAAATTATTGGGGAATATGCATCATTTAGGCACAGTGTCACATAAAATGATAAGGCTCCTACGTGGGCCCCTTTTAATATCAAGTCACGAAGATTGGACATGGCTTGGCTCCCATCTACGCAACAACAGGAATTTATACCATGCAGTTTAATGTGGTAAAATGTGTGTAAAAATGTATCAACTCTAATTATTCTAAATACACACCTGTACTAATAGTACTTCATTGAAGTCTCTTTTTCTACAATACAAACAGAAAAGGTAATAAAGTGTGGGAGCTGCAGATTGCTGCAGAGAGCAGACGCTGCATTTTCCTCAACTCGGCTGCCCCAAGGCCACTGGAAAGATTTACCGCATGCAACAGTGCTTACACATCACACATTAGATGATATTTTGGCGTAAATTAGTTGCCTGCTTGACAGTTACGCTCTGACCTTTAGTCTGCTAATTCTGTATTTTGTTGTCATCCACTGTGGCCCCTTACTCAAATCGGCCCCTTTCTGCATTTCCCCCCCTCAGCACAGTGGCAAAATGGACGAAAATCGATTTGTAGCTGTCACCAGCAGCAACGCAGCGAAAATCTTCAACTTCTACCCGCAGAAAGGCCGCATTGCCAAGAACTCGGATGCTGATGTGGTTCTATGGGACCCCAAGATGACAAGGTGAGGGCCCGACTCCAGCCATTCAGCAGTATCGGGGAAAGCTTTTGAAACAGAGCAGGAAAAGAAAGCTCTCAGTTTTTAATGTGTACGACTCAAATGCACATTCCGAATGCTCTCTTATCTCTCAGTATTAAGCGAAACATTTCTACCAGTGCTATCAGCTGCCTCAACTGCAGATGGTGCTGCTGAAACATTGGGCAAACTTGAAAGCATGTCTTCAGGCTGTCAAGTATTTGGTTGAATAAGATAAGGTTTATAAAGTTTAGCAGTGAAACATGCAGGCTATAGATACAGGCAACTAAAAAGAGAAATGATGCATCTTTCATCTTGTGCCACCTCAACACACACACAGACACTAACCCACCACTTAAGCTGATTACGCACTATCCAGAAGTCAGGGTATGTCATTACTAATCTACAGCTGCAAATTAAAGCATAACACCATTTGCATATGAATCATATTCATCAGTCATTAAAAAAGACTGTTGGAATGATTCATTCTTTTCCATGTTTGGGTATTTTTTAGGGAAGGATTTTAACACACTTACATAAGCTTGATGCGCACAGCATCAGTGGGACGGTGCTGATGGGTCATGGTGAGGATCTTAAAGATGACGAATATTTTACGTGGGAGCTAAACCAATTTTCATAGTACAGAACACACAGCATTAAGGCTATTTTCAGTAACTGGCTCAGGGTATCATACGGCTGTGTATAAAAACAGATCATGTGAGTGTTTCTTTCCTTTTTCTTAAGATTCTAACAAAGTCCCAGATATGGAGGACAATATGCTGTTCTGTGGAGCACATGCACAGATGCAGGCACAGAGGACAGTTTGCATTCCAGTAGCTTGCGTACTGTAGCACACTCCGGCTTATATAACCCAGAATGGCACTGCACTGCTCTGTTAGCTGGAGAATCTGGGCTGAGCCCCTCAGGGAAGTCACTAACCGCTGATGTGAATTGGAGAAGAACACATTACACCCCAGTGTAATTTGCTGTAAATGAATTCCCTGGTAACATCAAGAAAGCTTGAGACCTGATACCTTCACGCCTCTGACCGCTGAGGAGTTTACATTGTTTTGATCTACTTGTCCTCGGACATCACCTGTGTGTTCTACTGTATCCTGTCTTTACCCTGTGTGCATGTTTGCGGATGTTATAATGCCTTTCAAGCATGAGAGCGCCTCATGTTTGATTGCTGCCGCCGTGAACTCATCTGTGAAACTGTGTAATTAATTGCCCTCAGCGTATGTGTCGCTTCATAACATCCGGGGACCAGGGGCCACAAACAGTTGCATAACCAGAAAAACTCAGTCAATTGCCTTGTGTCTCATAATTAGGCTACTTGAATAATGAGGACACATCTTGTTTTTGTCAGTGCATGCTAGGCATGGTGTCTGGCTTTACAAATCAACAGGAAATGTGCATGTGTGAATGGGGGGTAAAAGAGGGCTCGCAAAAAAAAAAAAAAATGAAAAAGACATTCAATGTGTTTCATGGAACCGGCTGAGTCAGACTTATTTCACTGTTTCCCGCTGATTTAGTCTTTTCACTCAGATATGGTGTATTGGTTAGACATCATCAATATGTACTGTGCAGAGCATTTGATTATTTTACTGTGAAGTGTTGTTATTGGATTTCTCTCTAATAGATTCTCTACATTTTCCAGAAAGCCCTTCAACCACCCCAATGGGAATGTGCTTGAAACTACATTAAGTTCTTACTACTACTACTACTATTACACTAGTACATGCCAGGGTACTGTACATAGGTTCTTTACCTAAAGCAGCTTTAATCAGTCAGCTCCACACAATGTTTTTGTGTCTTTCAGTGTTTTGGTTTTATGGCCCGTAATGTCACAGTTTCTTGCTCTTAGTGTCGTTTTTGGCCAGTGCAGACAGCTGTTTTCAGCAAACTGGCTTTAAACCCCCACTGTATTCTACCTGCCCAGACAGACAGATAAAGTAGCTAGCTAGTTAGATAACACAGTGCAGCATCTTGCAGCAGAATATTTAGATAGTGGAGCCAAACACATAAGCTAAAAGGAGACTAAATATTAGACTTAGATTCGTCAAGTGGACAGAAACTCAACTGACTCTAAAGGAATTCTAATGTTGCCCTGTATCTGCTAGTGATAAAAGTACACTGTACATGCTCTTATGCAGGCTAATGTCCCCTTGTGAGTGGTAGATTAATGAGCAGGATTTTATCGTTGTGGGTCAAGGTGGAGGGACCAACGTACTGTGTATATATATGGTGTGGTAGTTTGTTCTCTAACAATATGTCTTGCATGTACACTTTTATTTTGCGAGATAACTAGAAACTATTGCTGTAGTAGAATGAGTAGACGTATAGGTAGCATACAAAATACTCAAAGTACAAATGTAGTTGGGGGCAGATAGCAGTAGCATAGTACAGTACAGTACAAGAAAGAGTATTGAATTATGAGTTTTACATAAATCTTGAATAAAGCTTTTCCTGCCAGAGATACATTTACCTTGAGTGCTTTTAGATAAATCATTTAAAGTATTTTAATCATTTTAGCCAATACACTCTGTTGCAGCCATGCTAAATCTGTTTGGGTAAAGACTTGAAATTGGTGCCTGTCCTGAGTCTCTTATTCATTCGTATTCAGCATTTCATTCCAGCCTTTTTAGAGAGGAGAGCATCACATGAGCAAACATTGTAAATAATACATTATATTATATTGCGTGTTGCTGCAAAGTAAGTGAGCCGCTGTAACTCAGTGCTGTGTACGAGTACATCTTGGCCTGATTCAATCAGTTTCAGACTAGAATGGGGGCATTAAGGATTCACAATCGGTCTATGTTTTCTTTTTTCAGCTTGGTATTCAGAAAGCATGCAGTGATTACTTCACTTATCACAAAGGCTAGATGTGATAAAGAAGTTTCGTTCTGAAGTAGTTCTTAGTAGTAGCTTTTTGCAAACCTGTAGTTGTATTTTTGTGTCTCGGTAGGAAGATATCGGCCAAGACCCACCACCAGGCTGTGGACTACAACATCTTCGAGGGCATGGAGTGCCACGGTGTCCCCGTCATCACCATCTCTGGAGGCAAAGTGGTCTATGAGCAGGGGCGGTTAACGGTGTCACCAGGGCATGGCAAATTCATCCACAGAAAACCCTTCTCTGAATTTGTTTACAAAAGAATCAAGCAAAGGGATCAGGTCAGTCAAGCCCCACGAGGTTTCATTAAATAACACCTCAATTAGTGAAATGTTACAACTGCACTCTGGTCCCCCATGTGTTTCAGAAATCACTCCCTATTTGCTATTTTGTGCGTAAAATTCAACACATTTTATTTGAGTGTCAAACTCAAATGGGATTTTTTTTAAGCTAGTAAAACAATATGCAGTATTGATTGTGTGTGCAATATTTATTTATACTGTTAATAATCTATATAATTATTATAATCAAAAATCATATTTGTAATGTGAAATAAGTTGCTCGTAGTGACGAACCTACATTTCCCCTCAGCTCTACAGCTCTTATTTAGCATCTTTCAGCTTATTGTTTTGGTTGGTTCTGAAACGTCACTGTTTTAGTTAACTCTGATGGAGTCATTTTTAGCCAAAGGCAGGCAGCTGTTTTCAGTGAAATAACTGTACACTATAAACAGGTATGTCAGTGTTGTTCACAACTTATTTCTGTTGCCCCCCAAGTGACCAAAACAACAAGCTAAGCTTAGCCAACCGCTTGCTGGCTCTGGGTTCATATGAAGACCTGAAACTTTGTTGTTCATAAAGCATACATGAAACACCTAAAGACTGCCTTTGTGTTAATCAGGGCTGAAATTCTGATTTATGTTGAACTTAAAGCAACTAGATCCTGATGAGGTACTGTACAATGAGTTCACTTAAGCCTTCTTTTTGCTTTGTATTTGGCCTGCAGGTGGGGGAACCTACAGCTGTCATCAGAAAGCCCTATGAAGGCAAAGTCATTTCTGTATGAAGAACTGACCCAGAACATGAAAGGCACTTTGAATCTCCAGCTGTGTGTCTCCAGTACAATCCAGGAGCTACCATAACAACTGAATGCTGTCTCACTGATAAACCTGCTCGGAGTGGCTTCTACATGTGACTTGTTTTAACAATTTTTTGTTTGTCATGCATATATTATTCAGTAATTTAAATCACTGTGTGCAGTAAAAGCGGTGATTGATCTTTAGGTCAACTCTGATCAACACCAAGGTCAACGTACTGTTGGCAGATAATACCTTTGTTATATTTGTTCAACTGTGTGTGGTTTCCAGGTCAGCTCTGCTCAGTACACAGGTCAGTAGAACCCACTGTGCTGCTGGAAATTATATTTGCTCTAACATACATTATGCAATCAAGAAATTCGCTGTAAGGAAAGGAAATGTAAAAACAGCAAATGTAGAAAAAGAGATCTTTCATCATTTTTATACTGACTTTTATATTGACACACAACATATTACAAAATTATTTTTTAAAACTGGCTTTAGTTGGGAATGTGCCTTATTCCTGTCTTACTGGGCATTTTTTAAATGTTCCCATTTTCCTGAATGGTTGTTGCCATTGGTAACAGGACTGATGTTTTTCACCCAAAAGCACCCTTCCTTTAGATGAGATATTCCTTAAAATGCAGTGACACAAGTATTAAGATTTACTTTGTTGACCCAGATGGACTCGGTATTTGCATATTCAGCGGGATCACACATTATCATATGCACACCATCTATGCCCATGTATGGACTGCATTCATTCCTTCCCATGGTAAAAAGGTCTGTGGCTGTCACCGAGCATCATGTGGCAGCTTCCCATTGGGCTGGCATGCTGGCGTGGTATTATGCCACAGGGCTAGTTGAGACATAATGTGAGCTTATCAGGTTGCCACACGGGTCAGTGGCAGTGTGTGAGTCACAGGAGAAGGCCTACTCATCCTTGAGCTGTACCACTTCCTTCCTCTTTCCTCTGACAATGGAAGGGATGGTGTGGGATTTTACAATCGAGACCGTGTGAAAATGGTGAAGTATGTCTATTGAACAATTGTAGTTTTTGAATATCAAGGACGAATACATTTTTTAATGGAATAAAGTTTATGTAATAATTCATACTGAATCAACATAATTCCATTCATATTACTATGTCAACGTCAGTTATTTTAGCAAAGTTGAAAAAACTTAATTCAAACTGGAATGTCATTGCTTTGACCACATATGAGAGTGCAATATATTAAGTAATTTCTTCATTCAAATTCTACTCATTTAGACCAATTTCAATGTGCTGACTGATGAAATATCGCTCTTCTACACTCTGCAGGGAAGCATTATACATAGAGGTAAAATACAGAAGCCTGCCTCTGTAGTTTAGCTTATGAGAAGCTGTTTGGTGCTCTAAGACAAATACAGTCCATAATCCATAACTGCAAACCTAAACTTGAGGTATAATGTAAAATAAAACATACAAGTAGTTTATTTAAATGCCTCCAACAAGAACTTTTTTTTTATATACTGTGAATATTTGGTTAGTATTAGTTATCTCATGGATTACGCTCACTGTTTGGGTAGATTCATCATAGAATACTGTCATCTGCCTTGTTATATAATGAACATGATGTAATATAATGTGTGTAATAACTCTGACAAGAAAAAAGGACATTTCTAGTTGCTGAGTGTTCATTGAGGCTAAACTGAATTAAATTATAATTTCTTGATTCATTGGTTGGCTATTATCAGTTACTACTACAGACCATTTTCCATGGTTACCAGGAATCATTATGGTCAATTAGCAGACTGACCTGTTATGTAATATGATATAACTTAATAAACTACTAGAGCATTCTGATGAATAACAATGATATACTGCAGCTATACACAAGTAATTGGGCACAGTTTTTGAGTGGCACATGTATTGTTAAAAAATATCTCATGAAATGTAATATAGAAAATTTAAAAAAGCATTTATACATTATCACAGGGCAATTCAGTCACAAACACAAAACACATACACTAAAACAGTCACAAATATTAGTTCAAGTAGAAGTTTAAAATCCCTGTTCAGTTCATGCCAATTGTAAGGTGCAAAGTTGGTATGAGGAACTTTTAAATCTATCCTGGTCTGTGATCTAGTGTTATTATTGTTCAATTTGCAGACAGAATCCAGTGTAGATAACACAGTAAATAGTGTAATGGTTTCCTCTTTTGAAACTGGAAAAAAGCGCTGTATGCTGTTCTGTATCTGTTCAGTTTCCATTATTTGTAGCACAGTAGTGTTGTGCTCCTGGGAGATGCATACATTAAATTTTTTGGGAGTTTAGAACAAGCTTTAAATTAACAAAAGAGGTCTGGTCAAAAGCAGACTGTAACCTAGAGCCGACTGGAAAATAAGACAAGTTACGATAAACTTTATTTCACACTTCAGCAGCTCCTGATAAACACAGCCACAGATTACACAGATACACATTAAATTAAATTATACATTAAATAAAACATAGAATAGAATAAATACAAGATTTGTTTTCTGAAAATAGAAAAAAATAGAATAAGAGTTATATGTACACTATATACAGCTTTTTATATACAGGTGTGATTGATGTGGAACATTGCACAGGTCACAGCTGGAGGTAGTGGCATGGTGTAAAAAAAATAAGTTGGTATCATCTGCATAAAAATTTCCCATGTTCATTAGGAAAATAAATAGTTTTTATGTACAATATAGAGTAAATAGTACAAGGCCTATTAATGTGGAACACCTTTATCAACCATCTGGGGACTTGAAACCATCTACAACAACAGTCTACCAGAAAGATCTGATTTGAACCAGCTGTAAGCAGATTTATCAAAAATAACGGAAAGCCACTGATGTAACAGATTATTATGATCAACACTATCAAATCAGATCTACAAACAATGTTGCATTAGCCACAACAAGAGATGTAGCTGAAGACACAATTTTCTTCCAGAGAGGTACAAAGTGGAGCCCTACAGTACATAGTGGAGGTTTGACCAGTAATTGTTTGATCTTAGACAAACTGTATAGCTTAGCCATAGCCACCTTTGTGCAATGAACCTACTTGACTTTATTTCATTTTTAGGGATTTTTTTGGCAGAGGTAATGTTAAATTAAGAATATGTACATGATTCTTTAATGGGACCACTGAGGTATATAATCCATTGGTCAAAACTGTCCTTTCTTACTTGTGTTTGTAATGTAAATCATGCAGCAGAAAGATAAAAAGATATTCCTCACACGACACTTTGTGGATTCTCTTTAGGCCTAAAGAGCAGAGGGCACCAGAAATGTGGCTGAAAAGAGAAAACAAAATACTCACTATTATGCATTATACACACAGATTTAGAAACTTTACTAGTGATATTCAGTAATACACACCTTATGATAGAGTGATGTGAGGTGGTGGCAAATCCTCTTTTTTAGTCTCTTCCTTAGGATTTTGGCGTGCAGGTATTCCACTCTGGCCTCCGCAGTGTTGGAGAAGAATTGCTCACAGACCATCAGCCTGAGCTGGGCCACTTTGGCAGCCATCAGCGCCATAATGAGTAGGGTGAGTAGGATGACAGCCAAAGGAACAACAGAGTTATAGAGCAGCAGCTTGGGTTTAGGAAGACACTTCTTCTCAAATAGGGTCACAAAGTAGGAAAAGTCTTTTTGATGGTTTTCCTCGCCAAATGGTATACCTATTAAAGTTGCAATCCCCTGAGAAGATAAATAAATTAGCATTCAGTGGCTGGAGCAAGTATTGGAAATGCACAAAGGTAGCAGGGGGTCTTTCACAAATATACTTACTGTGATGCTCATTAACAGTGGGACATGGAATGGTTCCAGCTCTGATAACTTTGTTGTTACAATGTCAACAAAACAGTACAATAAGGCATCCACAGTTATAAAAAGGGCCCAAGATACAACATGGGAGACAACTGGAACGCCAAATTTCAGCATAGCTCTCCCTTCTCTGGTGGTGGGACGGGTGGAGGGGACGGTAGTGTACAGCTTCTCTTCCTCTGGTGTGAGGGGGAGGACGTGGGGCTTTCCTTCCGCCTTCTGCTTCTTGTCAAAATTAACAAATTTGCTGCTGATGAACCGGTTTTCGTATTTCATGTCATTGCAGAATCTTTTTATGTGCAGTGCTATAAACATCATGAGCACGAGGAAGCTGATGGCAGGAAACAGCCTGTCGGTCACAGAGGAGAGTGTATTCATAATGGACTGTACATACTTTACAGTTTCATTCAGCTTCTGCTCTGCTTCAGTGAGCCTCTCCCTGAATTGTTCGGATTCCAGCCTGGGTGAAACCTTGAGTTGAGAGTCAAGGTTCAAAACCCCTAAGTCTGTAACCCCCTTGAGCATGTTCCCTAGCCACTTCAACATCTTCACATAGTTGCTGAATGGAGCAATGATGGCTGCTTTCTTCGCCTTCAGGTTGCAAATCATACTCCTGACCAGGCCTGTGAGGTTCTCCAAGGTGTTGCGGATGTTTCTAAGAACCACTAAACTGGTCCCAGCGGTCAGGAGCAGGTTCCGACTCTTCTTCATGAAAATAGAGATCACAAATAGAGTCCCCAAACACCTTACTTTCTTTGACAGGAAGAGGGCAACTGTCAGTAGTGTCCCAAAGCAGCCAGCAATCCCTCCAGCCACTGCTAGCTCATAGTTCAGGGTGAAGAGGAGGTATAGGAGGAGCAGGGAGCTGAGCACGAGGCTGGAAAAGCTACACGTGAAGAGGAGGATGAGACTTCTTTGAAAGCCATTCCTGTTACCGGTTATAAAAACATCCACAGCCAGATAACCCATATCCTTGAGGCTCTGTTTTATTGCAGTCAATGAGAGTAGCATCCTGAGGGACCCAACACTGGAGTGCATCAGCCACACTAACAAAAATTAACCAATAATTGCAAGAGATATACAGTATTTGAATGTCAAAAAGCTGTATATGTGAACATTAAAAACCTGCCATATAGAGGTTGTTTGTAACTGTTAAATGGTTGCTTCAGAGATAGTCTACATACATCTCTGTAGTCAGTCTAACTTGTTGTTTGCAGTCTCTTTAAATACGGCATAAACAGGAACTCTTCCGTCCCCTCAGACCTCAGTCATTCGTCATTTCCCAGTCATCCCTATTTTCAACCAAAAGCAGAAGCACACAGAAGCGAATATGAGGCCAGTGTGTGAGACCTGTGCTTTTGGTGTGAAAATCAAGTATTTTGTTGAGGACTGCAAGGCTACAGATACTGGCCACTAATGTCGTGAAAAAGTTCAGACTACTTGGTGTATAGGCTACACCTTAAGACATCCCAGTGTTTCACATTCAAAAGCTTTAAAAGGAGAAGGTGACAGTAGACTGCTGTTCACAATAACAGGAAACATCAGGGTTAGGATTTTGAAGTTCATTGGTCATATTGTATGACAAGTTATTGAATTGCACTATAATAATCAAAGTTGAGCTCTGCTTTCAAGGGATTCAGATAGGGAACTTTGAACAGAGAAATAATAGTTGGTTGATAGCAGGGTCTTGACGTCAGCAGTTTGGAAAGCTGCTTGTGAAAAGAGTCAGAGTGTAGGTTCTTGAGTGGTCTGTGAAACTGGCATACAGTGACCTAAACAAACTAAGTGAAAGAGTGAAAAGCTTCAAACTGAGAATCTTTTATGTTGCTTTATAATTTTACTGCATTGCAACACAAATTACCTAACGTAAACACTAAGGGGTTACTTGTTACAGTAAGCCATGCTAGCTGTGTGGCTCCAGCAATGACAATGACAGTGTCAATCTGTCTGTCCAACACTTTGGTTCAGACTGAAATATTTCAAAAGTCTATCTACTAAATGCCATCAAATTGTGTACATACATGTATCCATCTGGATGAATTGTAATTACTTTGATTATTCCCTGGCTTTTCATCTGGCGTCAGGTCAGAGTTTCAATGTGTCCGATACTTTAGTTTATTAAATACAGACAAAGCTAGTGACAGTCCCATCAGCCTGTTTGCTGCTAACACACTTAACTTACTTACATTTTCCATTAAAGGGGTCCAATTTACTCATTAAAGGGAGTTGGCCTACATTTGTGTGCATTAGACAGTGGGGCATGGAGTTTGAAAGATGTGACTGTTCACCTGGCAGGGGACAAAAATTGCATTATGGGAATTGTAGGATCAAGTGTTTTGACCCATACTAGGGACAAATAATCAGGATTTCTCAACCTCTGCTGTATTGATTTTAACTATATACTTTTTTTCCTAATGTAAAAGGAAAAAATACTACTGTAAAAAAATACTAAAATACTACTATTTTTACTACTTTTACTGATTGCTGGAGCATCCCTTTAACAATTACATACTGCATGTTACACTCGTATGTGTGTGTGTGTGTGTGTGTGTGTGTGTGTGTGTGTGTGTGTGAGTGAGTGAGTGTGTGTGGGGGGGGTATGTGTTAATCTCATCATCACCGAACACTTGACATCAGTGTAATATCAATTTTTTATTTTTAATTTGAAAAATAACTTACATAAATCTCTGTACTCAACCATACTTAACCAAGACATAGCCTTGGCATTAACACATTGCACCAAAAAGAGAAAATTAAAAGGCATTCAAAAGGATAAATAACATATGTCTTTGTCATCATGTGAGGCATTTTTCCTGTTCCAAGAGAGTCTATCAATCTATTCATGGTAGCATGTTTATTCAAATTCTGACATCTAAAGGTATGTACAATGAAAATGAAAATGAAAATATATACTGTAGCTTGTTACAGCGACAAGGTTTTCTTGGACATTAAAACGCTTTATCGTCATATGGAAAAGGAATAATGCCTCAGTTCAATTTCATTCAGACATACTGCAACTATAAGATTCATATACTTCCCAGACATGAGAAGTATTTATAATTACTAAAAATAGAAAATAAAAAATAAACTGGTCTTGGCTTTTAAATAAAACTAACAAAAATATAGTAAATTAATTTCATTTTCATTAAAACAAGAAAAAAACATTTTCTGTGGCAATATCCCTTGTTATTTGAACTTGTGATTAGCTCATCTTCACAAACAGTGCCTGTAAAATTGAACCACAGCAACATACATCTCTTGCATCTTTGCTGCCTCTTGATTAGGTATAGACTTCTTGCTGTACCAATACAGATTATTTTTGCATGTTCGTCAACAATACTGAAATAAAATACACTTGCAATCACAACTGTTTCGTCAACCTCCATTAAATATAAAATATTTTCCTTGTCACTTTTTTTTTCTCAAAAACCTGAAAGAAAATATGACCTTGGGGTGGAATGTTTTTGTTAAAACTTCAATAATTGGCCGTGGGAAGACCAAGAACTAATTTGCTGTAGAGTTCAATTTAAAGTGAGGGAGAAAAGTAATGAAGTTGACATGCACTGTACAAGAAACTGCAAAAATTCCAAATATCATCTTTATCAAAACATGCTGAGTTACTGTAAGGTGTGCCCAAGCCATGTTGCAGAAAATCCTTTTCAACATGCTTGTTAAACAAATCAAATCCAAAATAAAATACATACTGAAACAATACAGAACTGTAAAATAACCAACAGTCCTAAAATCTGGACAATATCAGGGGACTGAACAATGGTAGCAATGAATAGTACAATGAGAAGTACCCTGGGACAAGGAAGAAAAAGAGAAACATGTACAATTTGCACATAATGTTTATCTTTATAAGGCGTGTGCCTTTTACAATGAAATAAATAATTTACATTTATTCTCATTATCACTTTTTGTCACATAAACATTTTCTGTTAAATAACTCCAAAAGTTTCCTTTAAGTTTCCCTTATCTGCATGTCTGCAAAACACAGACTCATGAATGGTCTAAAGAATGATAAACAATGTCTTTTTTTTTAATCATGATGTTGCATTCACTCCCCTTGAAAACCATGCACTAGTGAAATTTATCTTTAAAAATAATATAAATTGTTGAAAATGGCTGATCTGTTTTATTTATTTTTCTTCATCTTTTTTGCAAGTTGCAGCCTCAAGAAAATAATTTTCTTTTCTTTTTTTAATTCAGCTAAATTTGTGTCCATGCAAATGAACTAAAAAGGAAAAAAAATACTTTTTTCTCATTTAATTTTCATACAATATATCAACAGAGAAATAATGATGGTAGATTGTACATCTTTTCATGGGGTTTGGATTGTTACTGTATATTCTGGAGTGTTGATCGTAGCCACTTCAGTATTGCCTCTGATTAACTTTGAAGTCTTTCTGGTGGTACCAGTACGGTTTGATTCAGTACATAAACCTAGAGTATGTGGGGCATTTTTTGGGGGGGCGGGGGGTGGGGGGTGGGGGAGTGTGGATACAAGCTGGGACACACCTCACCGAAAGTGATGGTCTCCAAAACTCCATCTACACAGCTAGGTCTGTTGGCGTGGCATGACCAAGCATCTGGTTAGAAACATTGTCTCCCCTTTCAGATACAAGTACATTGACATTAAAAGAAAAAAAAGAAAATAAATGAAAACAAAACAAAAAAAAAATCAAAGCAAAACATTTATTTTTCATTCGAAAAGGGCTTCTGTAGAACTCTTTTAGCGGTTCCCAGTACTGACCCCCATGGCTTCGAATTGGATGGAAACCTGGAACTGACAGATTCCTCGTGCTAAGGAGTTCATTCCAGCTTCCTCCAAACAACAACAACAACACCCGGCAATCCCGGCCGCCAGGCGCTTGCAACACGCTTCGCCACGTGCACAATGTGCGCGACGTTTTTGCTTAAAACACAGGATCACGTTTGCACCCCTAGAAACAGGCTCAGAAGACACAACATCAAGCATGCAGTGTAACCGGGGGGCGTGACCTGTAATCGCAACACTGGCTGCTACAACAACGCTATCAGTCCACACGCTGCTATGATCGAGAGAAACTGTCCAGAGAGGATTGGGAAGCTCTTCTTGTCAGTGGGGCCAGAGTAGGGTCCACCAGTGAGGAAGGAGGAAAGAGCTTGAACCAGCCAATCACCATGTTGGACAGGTCCAGCTCATCTAACAGTATCTGAACTGCTCCCATGAATGATTTATGGTCCATACGTCCGTAGTCGCCCCAAACAATGACCTGCAGAGAACAACGCAGAAAAAGAAATTAATCAAAAGGAAGAGACAAATTTAAACAGGGAGAAGTGAAGTTGTTTAAGTAAGATTGATTCTGAATTTCTGTTTTAATTACTGTGAGACCTCTCTTACCTGTAAAACCTTCCCTCCCGGACTCTCCTCAAACGGCAGTTGCTGCTGGTAAAGAGGATCCAAGGTTTTTCTTGCTACTTTTGTTTTCTTTTTGGCTATGCAGACTCCATTTTCCAAAAGGTAGACCTTTACATATGGTGCTGAGAAGAGAGGAGAGGCGAGAATATTTATACTTATCCAACAGAAACATGTTCTTTCATCCTTTTTATTCGTCATATATCAACATTTACTTAGACTTGATGAGATAAGTGTGTAATTGGCTTTGACAATGAGCTTAAATTACCTGGCAGTGCCTTGGAACCTGGTTTTCCCACAAGGCTACGGGCTCTGATGATCTCCACCTCCAGTGCTCCTTTCTTGTCCACCATACCGATCTGAATGTCACCTGATTAACAAAAAGTCAACTTTTAGCACACAATATTTATCAGTATATAAAGTATAATATATATATAAGTTAAATCATGTATGTTTCACAGGATGATTCACTCTGCTTTACTAACATTTCTAAGCTACCATGGAAATAAATTGATTAAAGGGATTGTTGCCCTCACCCATAGGTGGAGTAGCCAACGTCTGTCGTCCAACCAGCTGGGCGGGGCCGAGACCATCCAGGAAGTCACTGAACTGGGCATCTGAGGAGAGCCTCACACCGGGGAAGATGAGACTGAAACAGAGAAAGACACACTGGTTACCACGGAGACAAAAGGAACAGTTCTGCTGATATAAGACAAAGCTGTAGCTTATGAAATGTCACGAGGATAAGGCAGAGTGAGGCCTAATATGAGTAATATAATGGAGTTTTCAGAGTTTGCTGTATATGCACAAACTGTCTCCTTACTTTCCCTCGGAGCTGTAGCTGTTCATGCTGCCGTCTGTGGACTCCCGGCTGGCCTGCCGAGTCATCCTGCTCCTCATCTCCACTGCCAGGCCCGTCTCTGTACTCCTCTGGATCGTGCTGCGTAACTTCTTACCTCCCGCTTCTGCACGCACAATGACACACGCAAAGGAGGAGAGAGGGAGAGAGAGAGAGAGAAAGACTGTCAGTCTATGACTCTGAATTACTTTGTGACTCATTCAGCGAGTTTTACATGGACTATTAAATTACCTGTGCTTTCATTGGCTCATGGAAAACCATTTACAAAGACAACTTTGTGAATGGAAATGTATCTCCATACTAAGACATGAGTATAGCTTATTGTGGGAAGGATCGCTGCAATTTCACTGTGACAATCAAACAGGCTCTACAGAATGATGGCTCTTTGTGTATCAGTTGAACAACACGCACAGCTCTCCTCTGGTCTGTGCTACCGACTGCCTACGGGGGTCTTGTGGGAGCCTTAGTGAGTCCATGCTCCACCTATAAACATCCAGCGTCTGCCTCCCATCCTAACTGATCCAAGACGACAGCTGACTCCACCCATTAGCCCTGCTGCCGCTGCTCATCTCCACCCAGCCTCCCTGACAGCCTACGTGCAGGGCCACGTGGCTGCGCCTGTGGTCCACATACCTACACAACAGTATGAATGCTCCACCACCAGACACACGCCTGGCAACCAGCACACACACACACACACACACACACACACACACACACACACACACACACACACACACACACACACACACACACACACACACACACACACACACACACACACACACACACACACACCCACACCCCCCACTTTTTTTTAATTTTTTTTTATTAAAAAAAAAAAAAAAAAAAAAATAAAAAAAAAAAAAAAAAAAAAAAAAAAAAAAAAAAAATATTTTTTTTTTATTTTTTAACAGCCATTTAGTTCTTTTAAACTGGTATGTTAGCACCTGAAATATATCTATAATCTCTAAGTTTAAACATGAAATAGTGCATGGCTATAGTCAAACGCTAATCCATCCAAGCATTACTAAATTTTGTTGCACATATTTTAGTTATGCAATGTTCTTTTTTTCTTATCCGTAATCAAATTAATGCAAAATGAAGGCATCGTGTTATTTCCCAGAGGTCAGATAATCACCGCAAAGCCAGAAGAAAGTAATAATGAGTTACCGACAGCTCGCCATTTGCAACCCCGAGGTGTAAAGTCATGAAACAATCAGCTATCCATTGACCTTACTGTAACTTTCACTTAATAACTTCCCAGTTTGTTGATCCTAACCCAGCATCATTACAGGCCTTTTGTGGGGCCTGCTGTCTTCACTCTTCCTCCTCTCTCCTGCCTTTTCTTGTAGAGGAAGAGAAGAGAAATGTCCTGTGTCCTATCTCACACAGGCATACACAGGCGTGAAGCCTTTCAGCCTTGAAATCTCAGTTATTCAGCTGGCGGCCTCCGCCTCCTCTTCCTGCTCTTCACACATTACAATAGTAGACAAAGCCACAGAGGTCGTCTCTGACGTCTACAGCAATCCGCAGCTCATAGACCTCCTCTGCCAATCAGTGGCCGGATGTTATCAATCACCATTAAAAACACACCGTTGAAAGCAAGGGAAATCAGTTTTCCCACTTTGTTGCACAAATGATGTGATGCATATATTAGCATTTATGCTGCTGATTAAAATCATAGATACATCCTTACTATGACATCGAAAAAACTGCGACCTTATAAAATAATACCTTTACATAACATGCAACAACCAAAGGCTGCTGAAATGTTTGCAATAGATTGATCCATGAAAACACCATGGCTTAGACTTTAAAGACCATGTCTCCAAAATCCTGTTCACATACATATAAATCACACACATACAAGGCAATGACAGATAAGGTCAATGTGCCAAAGACAGGAGCATTAACATCACCGGTTGGAGAATGTGGCAGCCAAGTATCTGTCAAGCATGAAGCAGCAGTGGCCTAAAAGTTTGACAAACTGGCTCGTCACCAGGTCACTGGCCTCAAATCTCGGCCTTGGCCAGAGTGGAGCTGCTCAGTGGCCAACAGTGGAAGTGTGACTACAAGTGTGTGGCTAAAAAAAGCTGGTGCGATCAGGCGAAAATATGTAGATAAGTGAAGGTGTAAAGGAGTAAATCTTCTGCGTAACAAATGAATGACGTTTTCTTTTTCTCTGTACACTGACCCACTGCCACTGGAATAGAACATTATAAGAAAATCTTGGGAGGCGTAAATATAAACACATGCAGTAGTCATCATCACTACTGTTGAGGGAATTTGGAGCAACAGTCATAGAGCGATGTAGTAATCCTAAGCTAAATAAACACTACCACCCACAAGATACTAAACAATGATTCATTACAGTTACTAAATCCTTTGTTTTCATTCCCTGAGTCAGATTCAAAGAATAAAGAAACAGTCAGTTTAACCATTAACACCACCACCACTGTTGAAAGCAGTATGTGTGCTCCATAACAAATTCATAGCCTGAATGATGAATTGACTATTCTTGAGGCATAGATATCAACTTTCAACACAGAACACACAGCTCAAGCATCATGCTACTATCCTAATTAAACTACACGGCCATCCTAATTAAATTACATCTCTTAACCTGCCCCAATTCTCCTTATTGATACCTCTGCATCTTCCCACTAATCCTCAATCCATCTCTTCCCTCTGCTGCCCCCCAGCCAGCTGCTGCTGCTGTGACACTTTCCTGCATGTCATCTTACCTCCGTCCTCCTCATCGAAGGAGTTCATGCAGGGGAAATAGACAGCCAGTGCTTCAAACGATGCAGACAGGCTCATCTTGCTCTGGGAGCGCTGGATACGCATCCCAGGAGCTGCAGCAGAGGTGTCATGCCCCTGCCTGCCCATGGTGACCGGCGGCCGTCCTTCTCAATGCGGTGAATCGAACTGCGCTAGACGTCAGCTTTGCCTTCTCTAGCTGGTCTTACTGGTAAACCTCTGAAAATCGACTGAAATCTAATCTGATTGATAAATAATCAAGCCCAGTAGTAGAAGACTCTTTGCTGTATGCGATCAGCTCTGTGCTATCATCTAGTCTGTCCTTAGATGCTCTGTAGACTGCATCTTAGGGAGAGCTTCAGAAAAACGTTGTTTCAGTAGCCGAGTCTTGTGCTGTCTGGGTCTGACGTTCCTGCTGCACCTCTTTCTTCTCGGGGGGAGGGGAGAGAGCTGCATCGCGCTCCGCCAATCAGAGAGCCAGGCTGCTCAAGCGCACCTCGGCTGGCTCTGCGGGTGAACAAGCTCTACCCAGAGATACTGAGCCCCCCTCCCCAGTCCTTCTCTCAACAATTTTTTAAAACCCTTTTCTTTTATCATGTGCTTTCTCTGTTTTCTCCCTCTGCTTGCCTTTCTATTTCTTTTGTGCTCCTCATCACTGTTATTTTCTTTTTCTCTCCATCCCCTGTCCTCCCTCTCCCCATTCTGTCCACAGTGAAAGGCCAGTGAAAACAAGCTGTCATTAGGTCTGCCAACAGCCCTGCTCCTCTCTGAGAGGGCTTCAGCCACATGGCGATCACTCAAAGTTCACGTGCCAAATTCTGCTACTTTATTGTTCTCCCGTCCATAACTACCATACCACAGCTGTGTTGTGTTGGGTGGAATTTACTTTGCTTTTGCTGGATGTTTTCACAGTTGCCGAAAATGAGAAATCTGAAAACTTAATCTATCTTCTTTCCACAGATCTCCACCACACAGATATGTTGTGTTACGAGAAATCCAGTTTCTCTTGATCAATCACAAACCCCACTGTCAAACAATCCAACAACCTTTGTTTGAATTAGGGTCAAACTAAACTAAACGTGGATCTTTTTTTCAGTCAAATTCTACCATTTGTGGACAACCGAGGTCAGCCTGTTTGAACAGTCCAGAGCAGAAAGAAAGTGGTGCTAAGAGAAAAAAATTCATCCTAGGTGGTCCTTGAAATACTGACAAACCTGCTACTGGCATGGCGTATGAGGGGTAACACATAAAGTAAATATATGGCTTTAAACTAAACTTCAGCCCCTGTGCTCAGTCACAACTGCAGGTAAAAAGTGAAACTGTGCTGCTTTGACTCATTGCCAGGGAACCAACTGTGGTGCTTTTGTTCGGAACATGCATCTGGCAGAATAGGCACAGCGCAAGACAATTATGGAGCCTCTCTGCACCATCATAAATATAGCAAGCTCCCTGTAGTGTTATAGCTGAGGCAAAAGTTCCTCTCACTGCAACCTACTTCCACGAAGAACCCTTTTAATGCATGACATTCATTTGCAGGTTTCATCTAGGTCAGCACAGTCAAAGACAACACTTGACATTTACAGCTACAGGAAATTAGACAAACACACACAACAAACTGGGTAATTGTTAGGGACTCATTAATAATGACCCAGTTGGTTGTACATCTTTTTATGTTAAAGGATAGAATTTAGGGACCCTGCTAACTAAAAGACCTACAGATTGTGTATATTTAAATTAATAAAAACACAGCTTAAAGGAGAAGTTCTGTCTTTAAGATTATGTTGTAGAGGTCGACCAATTAATCAGTTGGGCTGCTGATAAGAGCTTTATAAACTGTCGTTATCAGCAGACCTCTGTGCTGTCTCCACCAGTGACACAATCGCCATACATCACTTTTTTGCATGGAGGCTCCATAAACAAAGTCAAGGTATTGTCATTGTTTGTGCCTGAGATCATTTTTATCTAAATAAAAATGTAAATAAAGTTAACTATATCAATCAGCTTTATTCGTTCATCATCAGCATGATAAGGTTGTTGGTTATTGTACAGCATTATTAATGCTTTAGACTGAAGATAACCTCTGCCCTGTCGAAAGCACGCTGTCTCTGTTGGGGGGTTATTGTCATCTTTTTCCTGTATCAGTGTTAAAACATTTTTTAGGTTTTTGGCCTACTAGTGTCATGGCTCAAGGCATGGCAAAGTCATTCTGTCATTCTGACGATAAGTCCTTCCTGGACATTCATGGTCCCCAGAAAATGGAACCAACTGACATTGGTCCTGACTTTTCCTAAGCATCATCAGGTTTTTCAGTAATGAGTGACATGTCATTACAACCGTTGAATG